TTTTTTTTTCTTAAAGCTCTACTTTTGTTTCCTGCCGTACGTAAACATTTGTCTCTTGCGACTGAACTAATGCAAAAGCTTTATATATGAGTATGGGTGTGGCAGGGGAAGTTTGACAGTCAAAATTTAAATACAGAGCAAAGAATTTTTATACCAGTTTAAGAATGTTGACCAAGAGACAAAATCAGGTCCACAGTCAAGATCTCTCAACAATTTTGTTCAGTGACTTCCTTGACTTGGTTTTGTGATGGTACATAAAAATTTTATCCATCCATCCGCATATCTATTCATCCATCCATCCTCTCATTTGTTCATTCTCTTACTCAAAAAGATAGTACATCCACCCATTATGTGCCCAGTGCTAGGAACTTAAATATTACACTTTTATCTTGGGTATGTGCTTCTAAGAGTTGTGTCCAAAGCCCAGTATTCTTTTTGTGTGGATAGCTACCTGCTGTGCCCGTTCTCCTGGCAACCTGTCCTGAGATTTCCCAAGATGTTGACTCACCCCATGTTCTACTGCAATTAGTTTGACTCAAATAACATCTCTCCTTCTTGGATCATTGTGGCTCTTTCGATCTCCATCCAAAAGTCACTTCGCTGGGCCCTATAGAACCTGGGTGGCTGCTCATGGATTATTCAGAACTTCATTTTACCCTGAATCCTTTCTTTTGACCCAGTAACCTCAGGTCAGCCTAGATTTCCCTCACCTTTTACCTTTTATGGTCCATTTTCTAGCACAAGCCCCAGAGACCAAGAGTTAGAGATTATTGGAAAACGGATATGGAGCTCCTGATCTGGTTGCTGGGCTTCTGAACAATGAGGGAGGCTGAAGAGACTTTATACATTTCCATTCTGATTTTTAACTGTGTTGTAGACAGATGCCATTGCCAGGTAAATGAGTTGCAAGCAGTTGCAGTGATAGGGGAAAATGCTGATTTGTAAACAAACTGTTTCATAAAGTTCATTTTCTATGCAGTTCTTGATAGCGTGGAAGGTCTCCTGCTCTAGAAATGATATTAAAGACGGGCGATACAGGAAGGACAGGGGCATTTGATTGATCCTCCCTGTGTTCTGGGTACTGTCCTGGGCACTTGACACTCACTGATTTATTAAATCCTCACTTCTACCTTGCCCCAGTATTCTTGTTGTTGTTGTTATTAACTTTAACTTTCAAGTAAGGAAAAAGGCTTGAGGATTTAAAATAAGTCACCTAAGTTCCCATAGCTGAGAAGGGGCAGAGACGACCCTAGGGTGAATCCGGCCAGTGATTTAGACCCACCTGCTGCATCATTCAGCACCAGGAGATTTCCTGGGCGTGAGTTCTGGACACAAGGCTGTGCAACCAAGCAAGGGCCTCAGAGAAGAGACCAGTCTCAGACAAAATATTCTGCTTTGACTCGTCCCCCTTCTTTCTGAGTCCTAACCTGATTCCCCAAAACTGCCTCTTCAGAGCAGAGGTTGGGCAGGTGTGGAATGTTAGACAGTCTGAGTTCAAATCCCAGCTCCACCACTTTTTGGCTGAGTGCACATTTACCACTGGTAAATGGTAAGTTATCAGCTCTGTTTGCAGTTGCAAAGGAGAGATGAAAATACGAACAACTTCATTCACTCACTGAACTGTTTTCATAGAGTAATAACGTGGACTGGACACCATCCCGGGGCTGGGGGAGAGAGCAGCTAGCAAAACACAGTCCCTGCACAAAAGCAGCTCACACCTGTGCTACAGAGAAAGTGAACGCACACACAACACAGTTTAGTAGTGTGGGTTAAGTCAGAATATACATGTAGACTAGTGCTTGCTGAGCGGTAAACAGTAATGTTAATGACAACTCTTTGTCCATCTCCATGGCAATTTGAAGTCAAATAAACCCATGTATCCAGTCTCCCAAACAAAGTTCTTCCCCCAGCTGATTCCTCTATTTCCAAGTCCACTGAGTTTTCTCAAAGCTCCACCAGCTTCCAGAGCACTGGGGACATGTGCTGTGGTCTCAGATGCAGCGTGAGGCTTCCTGTGACTTGCCTGTCTTCTGCTGGTGGAGTCTGAGCTCTTTGAGGGTGGGGACCCATCTCTCAGCTGTGTAATCTGGGGCCTGCACAGAGCAACGTGCTCGATATATATGATTTTGAAAGGAGAAGCAGAAAGGTAGTTTGTGTGTAGAATTGTGTGCTGTGCAAGGGTTGTTTCCTATCTACTCTGTTTTATTTTACAAAAGGATTGGTTTTTGGTGTAGTGACGGGGGAGCAGGCAGAGATAGAGAGACACAAAAATCCACTTGTGTGAGCTTCTCTTCCGAAGGAGAGGACAGCATCAGTCTTCCATGGCTTCTTAATTATTCTTGCTGGGACCGAAGGCTCATTCCTGAGGCCTGCCAGGGACAACAACTTAATGTTGTCATAAGCAGAACAGCTTAATGGGAAGAGGCGAGGCTTGCAGTGTCTCCGCCAGGGCCCAGCGGTGGGGACTAGTGAGTTGGGAGCAGCAATTCCCCATCTGTCCCTGCTCCCATCTGAAGGGCAGCTGGGAAGCCTCTTGTCCTCAAATCTGGCACAAGCCAACAATTCTTTGGGAAAAGATTACACTTAAGAATTTGGGGGTGAACTGGACCCTAGACAGAGGATGAGGCCAGGGTATGTGTTCTCCTTTAAAAATGATGCTCTGTACACTGTAAGAGGAGGCCCCCTTCTCCTCTTGGGGATTAGCAATGATTCTAACTGCCTTAAACTGGGCCAAGTCCAAAGTGTTTTCTGGATAAGCAAGAGAAACACTCAACCCAAAACAAACAGAGTTCATGCTTATGGCTTGTGTTCTGCTGAGCCGCTCCATTTTTAATCATTGTTTTAAAAACAAACTAGTGGTTGCCTACCAGTGTAAAACAGTCCTCAGGAACAACCCACAGGCATGGGACAGTGGCTTATACATTAACTCATCTATCTACCTACCTATCTATCAATGTAACAATTGGTGAATTTTTTGTTTTTATTTTATTTCATTTTTTTAATGCAGCAACAACTCATCTTGTAAAATAAAAAGGCATGTTCTCATAACTGATACCTTTTGTAGGGAGATTTGCATAGGGCAGAACTAGAAACTTTTTTTTTTTTTTTGATTATTTAAAAACAAAATACCATCTTGGGTGGCGCCTGTGGCTCAAAGGAGTAGGGCTCCGGCCCCATATGCCGGAGGTGGCGGGTTCAAATCCAGTTTTTTGCCCCCCCCCCCAAAATGCCATCTTTATCCTGGTTATATTATGTGATTTCTATTTGTAAAAATGGACTCTCAAACGAATAGAAAGACAGAAGTTGAACGTGTTTTACATTAAATGCAAACCCTTTTGTCAAAAAAAATCATATTGTGTTTTATAGAAAGATTATTAAATCTCCCCAGAGATGTCCTGGAGAATTAATTGTCATTCGGTTTGTTTAAGCTCACTTATTGAATTGGAATCCAGTCCCCATTCGAGGCAATTAATTTGGAGAGTGACCCCAGGCCGCCCCCCCTTTCCTGGGACACCCACACACATATGCTAAGTAATGAACCCCCCTCCACCGGGCTTTCCTTTCTCTTCCTTTCTGTTTTCCTCTTTGAGATGTTTTTCCGAGCTTGCCTGTTAAATAAATGATCTGTCTCTTTGCAGGATAGTGACAACCTCTGGTGGGACGCGTTTGCCACTGAATTTTTTGAAGATGACGCCACATTAACCCTTTCATTTTGTTTGGAAGATGGACCAAAGCGATACAGTAAGAATGAAGTTTATTTTCCTAATATTCCCTCTCTCTGCGCCTGTAGGAAAACCCACAGGGGTCTTCAGAGAAGGGCGCGGAGCTGACAGCCTGACAATAACACCGCCGCTCCTGACAATGCTCTTGCTTCCCATCAAGGCACTGTCACCGGGTGGCAGCCTGAGTCGGCTCGGAGCGATTTCCTCCGAGGCTTAGCATGTTTGGGTACTTGGCTGTTTAGAGAGCGAGGCAAATCTGAACGAAGTCGCGCAGTGATAAGTGGGAGCTGAATGATGGAAAGTTTCCAGGCATCTCTTCCCTGCCACCCTCTTTATCCTTGACGGCTCGCACTTGACATCCAATGTTCTGCTTCTGAAGGTTCTTTTTTAAAAAAAAAAAAAATCCCATCACTATATCAGCCACATCCTTCTAATTCCCTCTTATCAATTATCTCAGGTATTTATGTGACAAGCACTATCTTTTCCTCAGGGAGGGGGAAGGCACAGCAGCGTTGTACATTGAGTTCGGGATTAGTGTTGACAGAATTATAGTTCCTTGTCTTTCCAGCGAGGCGAGCAATAACTCTCTAAAGATCCTCAAATTACAGCCTGTGGCACCTTGGGTAACAGCTGATCTGTCCTGATTAGGTTCAGCCAACTTGTCAGCAATCAGATTTGCTAGTTGTGCTATCAGACCAACGGGCATAGATCCATCAGCACACAAGCAATTAATGTCCGGTTAGATCAGAGAGAGGTGTGTTTTTAGAAATCGGCGTTGCATGTATAAAGGATCCATCGGGGGGACAACATCCCCACTGTGACAAACCCTGAGATGATGATGGAATCAGCTATGGTGTGAATGAGTCGATCCAAAGCCTTTGGCAATTGATAAGTAATAAGGGTTCTTGATACACACAATTAAAAGCTCTGATTGTTACTAAATCGATTTCAAAGTCACCAGGGGAAAGCAATATATTTCTTTTAATTTGGGGACCTTTAGACAGTACCATTCAGATCCATTGTGTAATTGATTAATTATGCTAATATATGCATATGGTAATTTTGCAAAAGTGTCAAAAAGGGGACTCCAGCATGCACTTACTACCCAACTGGGAAACTCATTGCCAGAAGCATCTCTTTACATTTGAGGACTGTGGGCTTTTTAAGGGTGTGGGACACTACTGATCAGTATTTTGGGTGAGGGGACAGACAGTATGTCATCCTCGAGCTGTTCAGAGCACTGTTACCATCACACAGTGACCCCTATGGCAGGAACTGGGAAACCCCAGCTGGGTTAACTTGCTTACCCGTGTGTCGGGGGGGGGGGGGGTCCGCAGGCAGCCTCCTGCCCTAGAGAGGTGTTTTCCAAAGTCCCGGGGAGATAAATGAACTTAGCGCTCCAACAATTAATTACTCCCTCCCCGAAAGGCTGCCTGATCAATGGTGAGTAATTTCTAACCACACCGTCATCCATCCTCTGAGCCGCCTTATTTTTTCGTGAAGCATAAGCTGATAACTCCAAGTTATCATTGTTTTATGTTCCTGTCCTTTGTTAGTTAGAGAACCCATCAGGGTCTGCTCAGGGAGCTAGAATTACAGCTTTGGAGTGTGTACTAATAAACCAGATCCTCGCTTCTCCCCGGTCCATCCCCCACCCCGACACTGTTTGGGGCTGAGGCAGGATCAGCGCCTGTTAAGATCTTATAGCCACGTACAGGAGAACATGCCTGACTACGAGCCATCGTTGCTCAGCTCCCTTTGTTTCTCTGAGCCAAAATATTTCCCGAGTGGAGAAGAGAAACAAAGATGATTGACGGCTCGGAGCCCAGACTCGTCAGCTGCCTTGCTGACAGCCTGGTGATGTGCACAGGCCGCTGATGTGGGGCCCGGTGACAGCTGATTGACAGCCGGCGTCTGGGAGGCAGGGAAGACGGAGCTTGCTGAGGACGCCTGACGCGTGCTGTTTATGCAGCGCTCTGAGCTTGGGCGCTGCCACCCTAACCCGTTGGTGGTGCGGGCGCCTGTGCCAGGCTGAGGAGCCGCTTGGCTGTCCTGGGGCTGGAAGCTCCAGCTCTCCTTCTTGCTTTCCAGGGACCTGTAAGCTTTATATTTCTGAAGAGGAAAACAAGACTTGGCTATGACATTCGTTAAAAAAAAAAAAAATCCCTAATTATACACACACTGGGTAAGATATAACCTAGGGGAGGCTTTTCTAGCCTTCAGAAAAACTTTTCCTCGCCATCATCATGTTTTGTCTTTAGAGGGTCCTTCTAGTTCTAAGATATCCTGTCTCTAAGCAACTGTAAATCCTGTAATAGATGTTTGCTTATTTGTTTGCTGTCTGCCATCCTTTATTAGAATGTTATTTCCACGTGGACGGAGGCTTCGTTTTGTTAATTGCTGACTTCTCAGATTAATACCAGAACTCACCCATAATAGGTGCATAGTACATACCTGCAGAATGAAGGTATCAATGAGTGGGTCGGGGAATAGATGTTTGGGGAACAGCATCTATCACCAAGCAGAATGTTGACAGAACAGTCCTTTACCAAGATCTTTGGATTATTTTAAACTGGAACAACCTCCC